GGGCCTGGTGGGAGGTGATTGGATCATGAGGCTGGATCCTTCACGAATGGTTTAGCACCATCCCTTTGGTGCTGTTTTCATGATAGAGTTCCCACGAGATCTGGTTATTTAACATTGTGTGGCACCTTCTCCCTCTCTCTTCTTCCTCCTACTCTGGCCATGTAAGACGTGCCTGCTTCCCTTTCTGCCATGACTGTAAGATTCCTGAGGCCTCCCCAGAAGCAGAAGCCTCCATGCTTCCTGTACAGCCTGCTGAATCCTGAGCCAATTAAACCTCCTTTCTTTATAAATTACCCAGTCTCAGGTATTTCTTTACAGCAGGGCAAGAACTAATACACCCACCATGGCACCCACAATACATATCACGGGTGCCCACTGCCAGTGCGAGATGCATAAATAAAAGCTATCCTGGGAACAACACAGGTCTCCAAGGAGTTGAGTGTAAAGGCAAGATCGAGTTCTGGGGGCTGGGTGGTCCAATGCAGTCTAGACACATGCGGTTGGGTCCTTGTAAGTTTTGAAGAAGAGAGGTTTATTGTCAACATTTAGAAGGCAGGAGATTTCACAAAGGCTCTAGATTTATGGCTGCTCTTAAAATTCTGGGCCGAGTGCGGTGGCTCACGCCCGCAATCCCAGCACTTTGGGAAGCCGAGACAGGCAGATCACAAGGTCAGGAGTTCGAGACCAGCCTGGTCAACACGGTGGAACCCCGTCTCTACCAAAAATACAAAAAATTAGCCAGGCATGGTGGCGCGTGCCTTTAGTCCCAGCTACTCAGGAGGCTGAGGCAGAAGAATTGCTCAAACCCGGTAGGCAGAGGTTGCAGTGAGCCAAGATTGCGCTCCTGCACTCAGCCTGGGTGACAGGGCTAGACTTCGTCTCAAAAAAAAAAAAAAATTCTGAAGGCCTAAACACACTGGCCTTATGTACCCCCAGCACCATCAAGCAGAGCTGGGAACAGCTGCCTCCTTGGGCAGGACCTGTGTTCTTCAGTTCCCCAACCTCTTACCCTTACAGTCAGCTTTTGCCCTCTTTCATGGCACTTACCCACTTGCCATACTGGAAACTCTGGTGTAGAAAAGAAGAGTGGAGGACAAAGAGAAAACCTGAGAAAATAGCTATTTAGCAGGCAGGACAAAAAAGATATTAATATACACAGAAAGAAATAGGAAAAGAACTGAAACAGAAGGAATTATCAATCCCCTTAATGCAAATCTCCTATATTATGTTGCTTACTGGGAAGTCTCAGTATCTAAAGACTCGTCTAACGTAATACCATTTGGATGATGAAACGTTCTCCTTGGCCCATCTTTTACTGGAGTAAAATCGTAACTATTAAAATTTTGGCATCACAGCAAGAAAGAGAAACCGCCATGTCCTCATGTCTAAGAAAGCATATTGTATCTGCTTAATAATTTCAGAAGGACCATAAAAATTCATCCCTACAATTAAATTTCCCCATCAACTATTAACATATTAAGCATCCCGTAAGTTAAGACACATTAAAAAGAGATCATTGGCATTTGATTCTATTTTGTACATCAGAGATGCATGTAATATTAATGACTCATGATCATGACTATTTTCTTGAGTCTTTTCAAAGTGCATATAAATCATCTGTTAATGTTATCGTAATTCATGAAATACAAGCTAATTTTTTGCTTAGAGCCACATTATAGATGTTTGCTGGGCATCCGAAGGCACTGCACTGCAAGCACTTCTTTTTCTCTGTTGCTAGCACTTACAGTCACACACGCATACTGTTATCTGTCCTGGCTGCAGGCCAGTCTCCCGTGTGTCAGTGCGGAGACTTGGGAGAAAGTATCTTTTAGCCAACACGTGAAAGTCACTGTCTGTGAGTCCATCCTTTGAGTTTCATCCCTTTGAGATCTAAAGGTCAACATGTCTTCAAGCACTCGCCATTAAAGCTCAAATATCCCTGAAGGCTTTGCTTTAGTTAACCTTACACTATTAATGTTATTTGCAGATAGCCAAGAATATGGTCCTGAAACACTCCATGATGAACAGGTTGGGTGGGAGCTGAGCCGCAAGACAGCTTGAGGAAGTTGTAGACCCAAAAGATTTACCTTCTCTGTTGTACAAATTTGCCCATGGCTGGCTCTACTCCAATGCAATTTTTCAGCTCTTGGTGTGAGCAGAAAATTAACAGAACTTTTCAAAAGCTTACTCTTTTTTTTATTATTATTATTTGTGACAGGGTCTCCTTCTATTGCCCAGGCTGGAGTGCCATGATACGATCACAGCCCACTCCAGCCTCGACCTCCTGGGCTCCAGCAATCCTCCCTCCTCAGCCTCCTGAGTAGCTGGGATTACAAGAGCACACCACCACCTGGCTAATTTTTTAAAATTTTATTTCAATGGAGACACAATCTGGCTATGTTGCCCAGGCTGGTCTTAAACTCCTGAATTCAAGCAATCCTCCTGTCTTGGCCTCCCAAAGTGCTGAGATTACAGGTGTGGGCCACTGGGCCTGGCTAAACTCTTACTCTTGTTAATCACAAATGTTTTAACTGAGAAAGAACTTCATGACTATCTGGAAAAAGTCTTCATCCTTACTCCATTATTCCATCTTGCTATCTTAACACCAACAACCACACCCCTAAAACCGAGCCCAGGTACACAGGCCTCTCCTGCCTCTCCCGACTTAAGACAGAATCATGATTTTAAGAGTCAGTTTGGTCCTCAAGAAGAACTCACATAAAGTCCTGAACTATAACTCGGGGATCAAAGGATTTTCAACCAAGCCATTTCCCCCAAATAAGGTACCATTCACAGGTTCCAGAGATTAGGATTTCCACATCGCATCTGCAAAGTCCTTTTGATATGGAACAGGGGCAGGGAAGTGCTGGGTAGAGAAGGGCAGGGTCCCTGGCAAGGGCTCCACCCTTGGGCCTGTGCTCACGGACCTAAATGAGGACAGGTATTTCTGTTTTTGCAGTCAAAAAGTTGCCTTTTGACCCACCATGCCCCATCCCCCATCCTGTGCTCATAAAAACCCGGGACCATAGTGGGCACAGACACAAGCAGCTGGACATTGAGAGGAGCAGAAGAACACACGGACAGACACCAGCAGACACTGGCAGGCCAGCAACAGCAGAATGACGTGGATGCTGAGGGGAGTTCGGCCAGGGGTAGTTGGAGGAGAGTCTGGCTGCTGTGCTACCCGACTCCAGGGGAAGACCACCTTCCCACTCCATCCCCTTCCTGCTCCCCATCCATCTTCTTGAGAGCTACCTCCACCCCTCAGGAAAACCTTGCACTCATTCTCCAAGCCCACATGTGATCTGGTTTTTCTGATACACGAGGACAAGGACCCGGGATACAGAAAGCCCTCTGTCCTTGTGATAAGCCAGAGGGTCTAACTAAGCTAATTAACACAACCTGCCTGCAGATGGCAAAGCTGAAAGAGTACATTGTAACACACACCAACGGAGGCTTCAGGAGCCATAAACACTCAACCCTAGAGACTGCCATGGAGTCGGAGTCCCAAAATGCTCCCCGAAACCTACCCATCTGCATGATCCCCCTAGGGGTTTGAGCAGTGGGGCGCTGAAGAAGCAAGCCACACCCCTGTCATATGCCCCACAAAGGTTTAAGGGAACACTCCCATTTCACTTTTTCCTAAGGGACCATTCACAGGTTCCAGAGATTAGGAACCTGTGAATGGTCCCTTATTTGGGAAAAGGACTTTGCAGATGCCATTAAGTTAAGGATCTCAAGATGGGAGATAATCCTGGATTATTTGTATGGACCCAAAACATAATCACAAGAGCCTTTATAAGTGGGAGGGAAGGAAGCAAAGGAGGAAAAGGTCACGTGATGAAGGATGCCAGAGAGAGAGAGAAAGGGAGATGCGACATAGCCATGAGCCGAGGGAGGAGGCAGCTTCTGGAAGCTGGAAAAGGCAATGAGATAGATCTCCCCAAGAGCCCCCAGAAGGACCCAGCCCTCCTGACCCAACCCCTCCTTTATTTTAGTTCCATCGGCTCATTGCAAACTTCCGACCTCAAGAACTGTAAGAACATCAATCTGTGTGGTTTCAAGTTATTGTTTTCATAGTAATTTGTTATAGCAGCAAGAGGAAACTAATACAGCATTGAAATCAATATTCATTCAACCTCCTTGCTTTTCTTTTTTCGAGATGGAGTTTTGCTCTTGTTGCCCAGGCTGGAGTGCAATGGCATGATCTCAGCTCACTGCAACCTCCACCTCCCAGGTTCAAGTGATTCTCCTGTCTCAACCTCCCAAGTAGCTGGGATAACAGGTGCCTGCCACCATGCCTGTCTAATCTTTTTACTTTTAGTAAAGAAGGGGTTTCGCCATGTTGGCCAGGCTGATCTTGAACTCCTGACCTCAGGTGATCCAACCACTTTGGCCTCCCACAGTGTGGGATTACAGGGATGAGCCACCATGCCCAGCCTCAACCTTTCTATTTGAGTTTTGCAATTATGCCTCGAGATATTGATCTCCATATCCCGAGAGGCAGCTTGGTGGGACCCGGGACAAGAGTTCTAAAGAGTTCTCCAACGTTCCTCCAGCTTCCCAGAATGCCACACCCCCTTGTCCTTTTCTATATGATCTTGTATCATGAAAAAGAGTGCAAACACAACAACAGTAGAAGACTTCAACAAGTATAAAATAGCCCCAGAAAAAATAACTTTCAAACTTCATCCTTAAAAGTTTCTGAACACAGCTCCTCCTAGACGAGGAAGAATAAAGAAGTGTGAACATTACTATCAATCTGAAACTTCTCAGTATCGCCGTTGAAAAGCTGCACTTGAAAACTTTACATAAAGGTGCAAAATGCAACATCCTCCCTCTGCAGGAAAGCTGTGATCCTGAGACAACCACGGCTCCTGGAGAGCTGTGTGCACACAGCTGCTCGAGCCCAAGGCAGGCTTTTCTGGCCTCTCTCAGTGGCTCCTTTGTACCCTTGAATTTGGGGGCTTGTTGGCCGCCAGGGCTCACCAGCCACAGACCTTATGGGGAGAGAAGGGTCTCCGGCGTCCCACCAGTCTTTTGGGGGGCTGATGTACATGCACCACAGCTCCCAGCTGTACCCATGGGCCGAGTTCTCGTACCGCTGCACCTCAAAGTTGTCCTGTTTGATGTTGTCAATGGAGGGGAGGATCACACGCTTCCGGTTTTCCTGGATGCGGGATAGAACCGGCTCAGCCCTGAAACAGAGAAACAGACATGAAACCTTTCTTCTCTCTCCTGAGGCACACCTCCCAAGACCACAGGGAATGAACAGCATTTAGCTAAAAGGCTGGGCTTTGGGAAGGCTGGAACTCAGATGGAAACTGAGGCTTCCAGGGACCTGTCCATGCTGGATCCTGCAGCTTCACACCTGGGCTGTAAAGTGTATGAAATCAGCTCACCCCTTCACCCTTGTTGGAATTACTACAGTGATGCCTGCTCCAGCCTGAAAAGCCTAGAGCAAGAGTTCAGAACATGGGGTCTCCTTCCCAAGAAAGTGCCAAGTCTCACTTTCATATTGACAGTGGACTCCACGATTTACACTGCATGACAGTTTTATACAGTGTCGTCAGTTTACCCCTAGGGCACTGACTGCCACCGCTTGTTTTTTCTGCTGGCACTGAATTTCCTTTCCCAAAATAGGTCACTTCTGTCTGGGATGGCCTGGTTTTAATACATATTTCACTAGCTTCTGTGTGTGTGTGTGTGTGTGTGCGCGCACGCATGATTATTTCAGTTGTTTTAATTAATTTTGTGTGAGTGTATGTGTGTGTGTGTGTGTGTGTGTATGTGTGTGTGTGTTGGCATGATTATTTCCGTTGTTTTAACTGATGATTTAATTGTGTGTGTGTGTGTGTGTGTGTGCGCGCGTGATTATTTCAGTTGTTTTAATTGATGATTTGATTTCTTAGAAGGGACCTAATTGAATTGGTTAGCAATAGAAGACTGGAAACTAATTAAATGCAAAGGCAGGCAGAATCCTGGCTTCCTGCTCACTTCCCCAGCTCGAGGCTGCAGCGGGCATTCGTCAGTGATCTGGCTTCAGGTTCAAGGCATAGCCCGCTGGCTTAGGAGACAGCAGATGGTCAGACACCTCCAACATCGTGCATCTCCGAGGCAGGCGCGGGAAGGGATCATTTCCCACATTCGAGAAGGAGAAGATGGCTCTCCTAAGCCAGCGCATTAATCTCCCAGCTTAGAACAGAATGCAGGTTTTGGAACAGAGTCAAGCGAAAATCCCATTCCTCTGCATTATCGGGAAGAATAATGAGAACACACAGTCGACAACCCATCTCTTTTCATTTGCAGCTACTGAATTACCTGTTGGCTCATCTCATCTTTCTATTTAAAATGAGCAATAAAATATACCCTGGGCCATTACCTGCTTCCAATACTTCTGCACACACCATATAAGCTGAAGCCAAATGGCACTGATTTTCCAAGGCTTCCAGGCAGGCTTAGGAGCATGGCCCTGGCCAAGTCTCCACTCATGAAATTCTCCCCTGGGAATGCCCTTTGCTATTGGCTGAAAGCCCAGCCATCTAACAAGGCTTAGACCAAGTACCACCTCTCCCACCTCTCTCACCACCTGGTCCCAAGACCAAGCACCACCTCTCCTGTGGGAGTTCTTCCTCTCAACTCCTAGATCATTTTCCCCACCTTATTCAAGTCACAGTGACTGTGCAGCTGCCTTTGCTAATCATCTCTGAACACAGGCTATTGTTCCTATGAGCTAATGACAGCTGATCTTTATTGAGCACTTACTAGTGTTAGGCGCCATTCTAAATATTTCCCATGTGCTGACTAATGCAACCCCCAAGATAATCTTATGAGGTAGATGCGATGATCAGCATTATCCAAATGAGGAAACTGAGGACCAGGGAGGTTAAGCAGCTTGCTCCAGGCTACACAGCCAACTGGTGGTAGAATCAGGTTTCTAACCTAGATGGTCCGGTTCATGTCTTAATTCTGAAGCTCCACTACCTCCTTGATGAAACATGATGAACCCCACACAAGCCCAGACCATGCATATAGAAACACTCAGTTCAGCCCATCCACCAGCAGTAAGAGTCACTGAGTATGGAGGCAGAAGACCTGGGTTCCAATGATATTTCTTTTTTTTTTTTTTTTGAGATGGAGTTTCACTCTTGTCTCCCAAGCTACAGTGCAATGACGCGATCTCAGCTCACTGCAACTTCTGCCTCCCAGGTTCAAGCGATTCTCCTGCCTCAGCCTCCTGAGTAGCTGGGATTACAGGCACCTGTATTGTATTTTTAGTAGGGACAGGGTTTCACCATGTTAGCCAGGCTGGTTTCGAACTCTGACCTCAGGTGATCCACCCGCCTCAGCCTCCCAAAGTGCTGAGAGGTGTGAGCCACCGTGCCCAACCCCAATGATATTTCTGTGGCTGAGAAGTTTGATCTTACTGTCTACTAGACAATGTATGACGATTCCCAATAATTTGCTCCCTCCTCCCTGGGGATGTCCTGCCTATTACCAGATGGCCTGCAATGCTTCCCTAGAGAAGCACACTCCTTCCTCAACCTCCAATTAACATTTAACCTGGACATGTGAATTGGTTTGCCAATGGGATGTGAGTGAAAGTGACGGTGTCACATCAGAGCAGAAACTTTAACAGCCATTTCGAAGTTCAGCCACTGTTCTTTTCCCTGAGCCACAAAGATGGGACGTTCTAGACAGGAGGATTCCTTGACTCTCAGAACACAGAGGATAAAAGCACAGCCACAGTCAGACAACCACAGCTGATGTGCCATGCAGACAAGAGAGAAACATGTATTGCTGTAAGTCATTGTGACTGGAGACTTTTATTGCAGTAGAACCTGGTAAAAGTTGAGACATGCTATCTACCTTGTAATGGAGAACCACCAGGGGGTTTTAATTCAGAGAGGGCTCTATGCCACCCGGGTAGATGTGTGGAAAATGAGTCTGAATGGCAAAGACTAAAGTCACAGACATCAGGGAGAATCAGATGATAGGTGGATTCAATTAGATAGACTAGAATTAGACTGTAGACTTGAGGGCAGATACCAAACTTGCCAGATTTTGAACCCCAGTTTAGTGTCCAACTGTCCCAGTTTGTGCAGGACTCTTCCAGCCTTACCACTGCAAGTCCTGAGAAATCACTCAATGCCAGGCAAACCCCAAACCTAGAACACCACCAGGGGATACAGTAGGCATCTAGCAAGTATCTGTCAAAAGAATGAGTTTCAGCAGTGACCGCATTCGTTTAGGTGAATGTCAAGGAAGAACCAAGCTGGGAGAGTGGTGGTCAAGACACTCTTGAAAGAGGGAGACAGGAGAAACGGCAGACAAAACTGGCTGAAGCTGGAGGTTGAAGCGATGAGTAACATGAGGGCAAGGGGAAAATCAAGGGAAAGGGACATATGTGGGGGGCAACCAGTTTTGAAAGGAAAGAAACGAGGACGCAATGATGCCAAGGAAAAGACAAGGTATGCCAGGCCTGAGGCTGTGACAGAACATTGGCGTGCATCTTTTTCAGAAGGCTTCCATTATGGCTCAGTGCTTCTCAAACTGGAGCATGCATCAGAGTCCTCTGGAGGGCTGGTTACAATAGACTGCTGGATCCCACCTGCACGGCTTGTGATTTCAGGCGACTGGGTGGAGCCCATGAATTTGTATTTCTGACAAGTTCTCAGATTCTGTGGATGCTGCGGGTCTGGGCACCACACTTTGGGAATGATTATTACTAGAGATAAACAGCTCTGGAGCTCAGGAGAGAAATGGGGGCTGAAGACACGCAGCTGGGTGTCACCAGAGTTTGATGACAGCAAAAAACTGGGAGGGAAAATTGGTGTCTGAGATGGCAACAGACCCCAGCGTGCACTTGAAGGGGTCAGTGTTATCAGTGGTCCCGGGTTTCTTAAGTGGTCATATGCATAAACATTGGTTTATTGGTTGTTGCAAATGAAGAACAGACATTTTAATGTTAATTAGTGATGGGATACTGGTTCTTCGAATCTAGTACAGTGAACAACACTTACTTAAGACAGCCTCAATAAGTGTAAATAAACAAATTTGTGAAATACAAGACTCTGCTTCTTACTAATTAAGCAACCCAGGTACAGGTTATTTAACCTCTAACTTGATGGATCATTGGTTACTTAGCAACAATCATCTGACCACGCTTTAAAACGGGAAAGTTCTATTCCAATTTTAACATGATTTTGGCATTTTTGTGGCCTCACTCTTTGTGCATCCAAAATCTTCTACTCCCCGTACACTCAACCAGTTTCTCACACTCTGTTCTTTCCACCTAGAAAAATATCAGGGCCATATCTGCAGAAAATACGCTTCACCTTCCTCCGAATGATGTGAAAGATAATTCTGGGGAGCTTTACCTGAGTGGTCAGAATTATAACTATATCTCTTTTCTCACAATGACAGTCAACCATCAACCTGCAAAGACAGCAGCAAAGAAGGAAAAGAGAACAAGAAAATTATGACTTCTTGTCCCATTTGCAAGGATTCTGTTGAGTTTTGTCTACTTGATACACCATTTTCTTTTTCTTTCTTTTTTTTTTTTTTTTTTTTGAGATGGAGTCTCTCTCTGTCACCCAGGCTGGAGTGCAGTGGTGTGATCTAGACTCACTGCAACCTTGGCATCCCAAGTTCAAGCAATTCTCTTGCCTCAACCTCCCGAGTGGCCAGGACTACAGGCGTGCTCCACCATGCCCGGTTAATTTTTGTATTTTTAGTAGAGACAGGGTCTCACCATGTTGCCCAGGCTGGTCTCAAACTCCTGATCTCAAATGATCCACCCACCTTGGGCTCCTAAAGTGTCGGGATTACAGGCGTGAGCCACCGTGCCCAGCCCGATACACTATTTTCACTGGGGATTTTGATGATGATGATGATGCCAATGATGATGAACTGAACAGACGGCAGGTAAATTTCTCCCTGCTCCCCAGTTTTATCCCAGACAATGGTCTCACTTTCTTCTTCAATGAGTCTTTCTCTGTTCTCCCAGTGCCCCTACAGGTAACAGGTGAAATGTCCCACCTCCCGCATTCCAGCCCCTCTCAACCACAATGCAGGTCTTGAGCACCCCTGAGTTTCAGCTCATGACCTACCAGCCAGCGGTGAATTCCACGTGGGCATCAAAGAAGCCAGTGACCTGCCCGGTGGCCACCTTCCAGCCCTCAATGCGAGCGCGGATCAGGCCTTCCCTCTTCTGATTTCTCACCACCTTCACCAGCCCGGGGTAGCGTTTGTGGACATACTCCTCCAGGGGGACCTTCAGCTCCTCTGCAAATAACAAAAATGCAAGAAGGTCTATAAACATGTCACTTCAAATTTGCATCTAACCCACTGCAATGCCCACAGATCTTCAGCGAGTTCAAAGATCTCAAAAAAAATCGCATGTTAGTAATTCTGGCAGAAAAGAAAATCTCATCAGTCTCGGAGTCAGACGACATCTCTGATGCATTCACCCAGGATAGCTATCTTCTGACGGTTTGCAATCCGTACAGCTGGATGGGAACCAGGCCTGGCTTTTATATCCTGGCTGCTATGAGCCGGCAGACGTCCTTCAAGATTCTTTTTCTTCGTGGCTCTCCCCCCAAACTTGACCAGAATCCTTGTCCTTGTCCTCCTGCTACCCCATGGGTCCATCCGGTTTATCAATTTCTATACGGGCTTTTCCATCTGCACACAGACTCATTCTTACAGTACGTGCCTTGGGACGCAAAATAAGTCTCTGCTCAGTAGTAGAAATGCTAGCTTGGAGGCAGAACTAAAGCTACCAGGGATTGAATGCCCTCCCTTCTGCAACAAGCAGGTGGGAAAGTGCATTTCTATGAGCTAATTTAATCCTTGCAGAAACCCCAGGAGGTTGCTAGATTAATTCCATTAATTAACTACGTTAATTCTATTTTGCAAATGAAGACATAATCTTAGAGAGGCTAACCTGTTCCGAGGTCACATTTGTGGTAACGGGAGAGCTGAAACACAATTCAACTGAATCTAACTCTATAGACATAAAGACTGATACTCAGCCGAGTCTGGTGTTGTGCACCTGTACTCCTGGCTACTCAGGAGGCCAAAGCAGGAGGATCACTTGAACCCAGGAATTGGAGGCTGCAGTGAGCTATAGTTACACCACTGCACTCTATCCTGGGCAACAGAGCAAGACCTGGTCTTTAATTTTCAGAATAAATAAAAATAAAGACATCTTAAAAAAAAAAAAAACAGCGATACTTTGTGTGCATAAAAATCACCAGGTATAGGGAGGAAAATGAGGGGCTAACAGGGAGGGGATTCTTAGATACCTGCACTCCATACACCCTGCACGGGTGCTGGGGTACTCAGGGACATGTCACCAAAGGCCATAGATCATGGAATGCTACAAGGCGAATCCCCCCTGGTGACCAGGGTTGGCTTGTGACTGCAGGAATCTCCGTTAAGTTCAGGGAGAACATTCTGAATGCTGAGCGCTGGGCACCATGCCAGGTGTTCCGCAGGCACTGTTAGCTCTTAGCTGCCACGTGACCTGTGACCTGGTCGTGGCTCTTCCCAGGAACAGGATGTCAGCTCCTGGCTACATTACTCACCACATCTGGGTATCAAATGAGTTCCTCATTTGTTAAGCAGTTGCGAGACTTTGGGGGAGATATATGGGTATGGATCAGTAAGGCTGGCAAAAGAAAGTGTGGGTCATTACCACTGGCCTTCTCATATCTAAAGAGTTTTGGGAGGTATTAAAGGAGTAAAAGGATAAAGCCTAATCATTTGGTACTAGCCTTATGGCTGCTAAGACTAAAGGAAAAGCTATATAGAAAACACTCAACATGCATTCAATAAATGGTAAATCTAATAATAATTGGTTTATCATACTTATTAATGTTGATTAATTGCATAACTTCCTATGAACAATAGCTTGTCTTTCAAACTAGTCAATATCATTTTTATTTTTATTTTTTGAGATGGAGTTTCCCTCTTGTTGCCCAGGCTGGAATGCAGTGGTGCGATCTCAGCTCACTGCAACCTCTACCTTCTGGGTTCAAGTGATTCTCCTGCCTTAGCCTCCTGAGTACCTGGGACTACAGGCACGCATCACCACGCGTGGCTAATTTTGTATTTTTAGTAGAGATGGGGTTTCACCATGTTGGTCAGGCTGGTCTCAAACACCTGGCCTCAGGTGAGCCACCCACCTCAGCCTCCCAAAGTGCTGGGATTACAGGCATGAGCCACTGCGCCCAGCCGCCAAAATCATCCATAAAGTCTAGGGCCTACTGTATAGCAGTAGACACCATTCTCACTCTTACAAGGTACAGGGATACACTGTTCCAAACAACAGCGTATGGAAACATCGAGGCAGATGCCACCATCCAATGATCAGGGCTTAAGAACAAGTGACACTGAGCAGGCTTCTCTTCCCAGTCCCTGCAGTGTGATTCTGGACTTTATAAGATACTGAGTTGTGCTCTGGCCTGTGCTCAAAGACAATCCAGACACAAGTGCTCCCTCAAGATGCTTACAATTGAGTTAAGGAGATGAGATATGTTTAAAAATTACAGGAAGGCGTACTTTGGGAGGCCAAGGCAGGTGGATCACCTGAGATCAGGAGTTCGAGACCAGCCTGGCCAACATGGTGAAACCCCGTCTCTTCTAAAAAAAAAATAGCCAGGTGTGGTGGCGGGTGCCTGTAATCCCAGCTGCTCGGGAGGCTGAGGCAGGAGAATCGCTTGAACTTGGGAGGCGGAGGTTGCAGTGAGGCGAGATCGCACCACTGCATTCCAGCCTGGGCGACAAAAGCAAAACTCCACCTAAAAAATAAATAAATAAAAATAAATTATAATATTTAATATTATAAGGTAAATGAAGCTAATGGCCCCCCCATCCCCACAAAAAAATAATGGCCATGGAGGAAGAGTGCTGTGAGGAGTCGCAGAGAGAGAGAGAAATTGTTTTGGCTGGGAGCATTCAAGGAAAAAGTTGTTAAGTTATGCAGAAGATTTGGACATGAGCTCTCACTATTCTAGAATACATAAGCACACCAAAAAACACCTAAGTGAAAAATTGTATCTACTTAGATGACAGTATCATGAGCACCAACATTTCAGTCTAGGAAACTGGGAAGATGCCACTGATTTATTTTTATTTTATTTTATGTTTCAGATGGAATCTCGCTCAGCCACCCAGGCTGGAGTACAGTGGCGTGACCTCAGCTCACAGCAACCTCCACTTCCTGGGTTCAAATAATTCTCCTGCCCCAGCCTCCCAAGTAGCTGGGACTACAGGCGCCTGCCACCATACCCAGCTAATTTTGTATTTTTAGTGGAGACAGTGTTTTGCTATGTTGTCCCTGCTGGTCTCGAACTCCTGGCCTCAAGTGATCCCCCTATCTCTGCCTCCTAAAGTGCTAGGATTACAGGTGTGAGCCACCACACTCGGCCAGATACAATTGATCTAAAAAGAGAAAAAGAAGAAAAAAGGAAGAACAAGTTGATGAGTTTCTCTGAGGACAGGTTGAGGGGGCCAGAGGACATTCTGGGTTAGGCATCTGAACCACGACAATGGTCTGGAGGGGAGAAAACAGGGCAGAGGTGTCAGGGACTGTGTGACGAGAGATGGCGTCCTAACATGGAGAAACCTCATCTCTATTAAGAACAAAAACTAGCTGGGCATGGTGGCAGGCACCTGTAATCCCAGCCAGTCAGTGGGGCTGAGGCAGGAGAATCACATGCACCTGGTGGTGCGGAAGTTACAGTGAACTGAGATTGTGCCACTGTACTCAAGCCTGGGCACGAGACTCTGATGGCCATGAGAGGGTGACAGTTCCAGGAAATGCAGGGAAGAAGACTTAGAACCACACTTTGTGGAACACATGTAGTTAGGAGACAGGAAGAAGGGCTAGTGAGCAATCATGGCTCACTGCAGCCTTCACCTCCCGGGCTCAAGCAATCCTCCTGCCTCAGCCTCCTGAGCAGCTAGAACTAGGGGCATGCACCACCATGCCCAGCTAATTTCTTTTATTTTGTAGAGGGCTGGATAGAGAATGTAGAAGGAAGAAGGGCTGGAGAAGCCATGCTCAAGGCAGTACAGATGGGCCTCCAAGGAGGAACTGCAGTTCTCAAATCCGAGAGCCCAAGAGCATCATCTGGAGGTGTTGAAAACCGAGTCCAACACTTTACAGGATAATGCTCCTATGACGCCAGTTCCGAAGCATTATCCTGTAAAGTGTTTGGCAGAGTTTCTGGAAGAAAGATATGTGCATTCATTTTATAAATATTTAAAGGAGTCTCTGTGGGTGAGAGTCCCTGTCCTCAAAAAGCTACTCAACTTCCTGGGTCAGGAAAGTCAAATGCATTAGAGAAAATGAGAGCTGAGAATGGCCTGTTGATCTAGACAAACAGGAGGCCTCCGATGGTACCAGTGGGAAAAAAAGAAATCCCTCCAGATTCAGCTGTCTCCTGCAGGGACAGGGTCAACACAGAGAGAACTGGATGAGGACATCTCAAGAAGGACTTCCAGAAAGCCCGGCTCTGGTGGAACATATTTGAGACCGCCTAAGAGCATTAGGGTGTTGAGATTTGAAAATGGAGAGAAACTGAAGTTGAGATGGGGTGCAAGAGCCCAAATTCACCTTAAAGAGAATGAGTCTATAAATTAACCAAGTAAAACCAGGTCCCCAGGCCCCCATAGAAGCACACAAATCCCCAACCTGACACTGGTTAGAAAGTCACCCCCTTAGCCAGGCATGGAGGCTCATTCCTATAATCCCAGCACTTTGGGAGGCCTAGGCAAACAGGTCACTTGAACTCAGGAGTTCGAGGCCAGCCTAGCCACATGGTGCGACCCTATCTCTACTAAAAATACAAAAATTAGCCAGGCGTGGTGGCACATGTCTGTAATCCCAGTTACTCGAGAGGCTGGGGTAGAAGAATCGCTTGAACCCAGGAGGCGGGGGTTGCAGTGGGCTGAGATTGTGCCATTGCACTCCAGTCTGGGCGACAGAGAGAGACTCTCTCAAAAAAGGAAAAAAAAGAAAGTCACTCCCTCACCTAAGATCCTTTATCATCCTTAACAGATTAAACCATTTTAGGATGTTATAAAAACACTAAGAAAAACATCTTACTTTCTCTTTTTCCTCACGAACACACTCAGAGAAGAAAAGAGAAACTCATTTCTGCAAAAATAAATGTTTACCTTCTGCAAAAATAAATGCAGAAACTCATTTTGACAAAAATAAATGTTATAAAATCCAATAAAAAATTGGCCAAGTGCCATTTGGGAACCCTTGTGTT